TTTCATCGAAATTCCTAGCTATGTACTGAACGAGTCGGGCGACTCCGAAACGGGACCTGCTCCGGGTGGAAACCTGTCGAGAGAGAGTAGTGCATAATACCTTGCTTATGATTTCTAGTTATGTGAGACACTACTAGATGAAATATATCTAGATATATGAAATATATCTAGATATATCTAAAATATATCTAAAATATATCTAAATATATCTAAATATATCTAAATATATCTAAATATATCTAGATATACGAAATATATCTGGAAAGGAAATTGGCGTCGAAGCATATAATTTTTGCATCGAATCCGATGCAAAACGAATCAAGCACGCAGAGGCACAATTATCAGATGCAGCAAAAAAAGCGCGCTCTGGCATAACATCTGCGAGGAAGAATGGAGGACGAATATTCCAACTTAGAAGGGCAGCTTTACGGTGCTGGGATTGCAGACTAATAGTAAAAATTTTTTTTGAGTCGAATTTTAAATTTTTTCATGTTATAATACAACTCCAAACTTTAAACGCGTTTCTCGAAACACGTTTTTCAACGCGGCAAGCAGTATAACTCTAACAATTTTTAATATTTTCACTTGAATTTTTTACTGTACATTCAAAACAAACATTTCGAAGTACAATACGTATGGAATTTTTGATACGTTGCTCTAACATTTTTTATTGCCAAATATGTCACTTTTTTTTTGTCGAAAAATGAACGACTTTATTCAAATGCTCGCAATCACTCAAAAATCAATATTCTAAAATCCCATACGTATTGTACTAGATATACCATTGAAGATCATGAGGAATTTTTTTATTTGTTCTTGGTTCAAATTTCCAACGGCTACACGCTTGCCGCAGACCCTTTTATTTTAAAGGAGCATCAGGGAATATGGGCTGCCATTCCGCCATTTGTAATATTATTTTATGAAAAAATTTTTACTAGTACTTCAATATATGCTTATTAACTTCACGGAGTATTAATACTTTATTTCATTTCCTTTCATTAAAAAAAATGTCGAAGAAGTGCAATTTTTTGGCCGTTACAGTGGTGTTACCCCTTAATTTAATGCATTCTCTTTTTTAAGGAGATTTAACTTTACGTCACGCAAGTCTAACAGAATCCGATTTTGATGGTATAGTCGCAGAATGGCTACGTTTTGCGAAACAAAGAAAAGAAAGAGAAGACAAGACTAAGGAACAAGACAATGAAGAAAATGATGTACAACATAACGTTGATGAGTAACATCTAATACATATATAAATATATATATCTTTATCTTTTTTAAAAAAACATTTTTTTCTTAATATATAAAAATATAGTATCGCTATATATCTTTGAAGATCCTGGATCCTCGTTACAGCCATATGTAGATTATGACAGAGACGAGAAAACACACTGAAAGTTTTATTTAGATGCCATTTTTAAATGAAAAAAGATACTTCAAAAAACACTACTTCGGATGGTTGTAGCACACATTTTAAAATACCTCGAAAACTATTCTTTTCCTTGACAGTCAATCAACAATCGTAAAATAATTGTGATATTAAACTTTGTCATGTGGAATGACTGTGCATGTGTAGATCAGACGGACTGGGCCTCATATTAGTCATTTTACAGTTTTTGATTAATTATAAAGGGAAAAGGATAGTTTTCAAAGTATTTTGAGAGTGCGCAAAAGCCATGCAAAGTGCTGTTTTATTAAAATGTCTTTATTTCAAAATGACTTGAGAATTTTAGCGTATGCGTTGTTCGCCTCTAACGTCACAATTCCAAACATGGTCGGTGATAGCCAGAAGTCTTAATAAGGTTTATAGATTCTCTCTAGAAAAGGGGACACCATGGCGATAAATAGATAAATGTTTCTGTATGATATATATATATATATATGTATATAGAGCTAATGGGTGCTGGGATTGTCCCCTTTTGAGGACAAAGTCCGCATTAGCCTGTCCTCCAGGAAACATTATTATATAATCTCCTCCTGATGTCCATTAAAAGTATTTGTGTTCGTTATACAAAAAAATAATCAGAAAAAGTTAAGTTTAAGTTATAAGAAAGGTAAACGTATAATAAAGTTATTGAATATATATAATATATATATAATGTTATACGTTCCTGATGTGATAAAAATATATGATTTCTGATATTAAAAAAATGATTTATAAAAATATTAATTTTATATAGACTTATTCATTAAGATTGATATAGTTTGTGAAATTTTATTAGATATATAGGGATAGGTACTTTTGCTTTTGAATACTATATGAATTATGCCAGGAAAAAGTGTGATCTGAAAATGCTCTCATTATGCGCGAAAAATCTAGCAATTATGCGCTAATTATGCGTGTAAATCCGTAGCTATGATAATATATGCGCATTATTGAATTATTTCAATCTTTCGCGTAATATATAACATAACAGCCTAAAAAAAAATATTATAGAGTTCAATTTGAAAAATTTCGTCGTTTTCTCCCAAATCCGAGTGTTTAAATCAAAAAACTGCCTATTGTGCGATAATTACGCGAAAAATCGCATTATGCTGCGCGGAAGTGTTTATTATGCGATTGAAATCTGTCAATAGTATAAGTGTTCTTGTACTATGCATATAACTAGTAAAATATATGATTAAGAACCAATATTTTTTGCACACATTTGGCTTATGCTCAAAGCTAACGTACCTATCCCATAAATATAGATGATTATTGATTCATTATTTGTGTATGTATAGAATTCTGGCATTTTTTCCATTTAAAGCATATAGTTTTATTTTATAAAACTTTTATTTAAGATGTATTAAAAAAAATTTGCTAAATTTATCGTATTAATTTGGCTATTTTAAAGATAAGCATATTATTATGTTTTTATTTAAACTATACATAACAAGAAAATGCGATACAGTTTTTTTTGTCTTTCTGTAATTTTTATATTTAACACTTTGTTCTATGTAATGCAAAATGAACGTTGTGGCAATATAGAAAATCTGTATATGTATATATATTTATTTTGCATATATTATCATAATACTTTATATTACATGAAAATGTGGTATATAGATACTTTATCGATCCTTATATTCACCCAAAACACAGCCTCAACAGGAAATATTACTTTTGCACATACTATATAATCTCAAGAAAGGTGTGTGAATTAATTCTAAGCAAAAATAACAAACATGTATTTTTTACAAAGTTTTCGTTTAGTTATCGCTTAGAATTAAATCAGGATCTTTTTTGGGTTGTAGGTGCAAAAGGGTAAAGATCTTAATGTTATAGTACATATAGCAGTTATATAACAAAACGTAATTAATTACATGATATAAGTACAGTACATTACATAAATAACACCGCAGTAAGTTATGTTACTTGTTATAAAACTAATATATAATTGTTATATAATTTAGTAACATTTCAGTTACAGTTATATTTATGTATGAACTGTAAACATTTGTATGAGTGGGAAATTTAAAATTACATAGACGTTACATTAATATATACATTATATTACGTGACATTCAGTTACATTGTAAAAATGTTGCTGTTATATATTTGTGTTTGCTGTATGGTATATATGTATAAGTTATAGCGACATGCAAGAACACACTTATTGATTTTGACAGATTTCAATCGCATAATAAACACTTCCGCGCAGCATAATGCGATTTTCGCGTAATTATCGCACAATAAGGCAGTTTTTGTATTAAAAACACTCGGATTGGGAGAAAACGACGAATTTTCAAATTGAACTCTATATATTTTTTTTTAGGCTGTTATGTTATATATACGCGAAAGATTGAAATAATATCAATAAGCGCATATATTATAATAGCTAACGGATTTAACACGCATAATTAGCGCATAATTGCTAGATTTTTCGCGCATAATGAGAGCATTTTCAGACACTTTTTCCTGGCATAATTCATATAGGTATTCAAAAGCATAAAGTACCTATCCCTATATATCTAATAAAATTTCCAAACATATATCAATCTTAATGAATAAGTCTATATAAAAAATAATATTTTTATAAATCATTTTTTTTAATATCAGAAATCATATATTTTTATCACATCAGGAAACGTATAAACATATATATATATATATAATTCAATAACTTTATTATACGTTTACCTTTCTTATAACTAAACTTAACTTTTTTCTGATTATTTTTTTGTTATACGAACACAAATACTTTTAATGGACATCAGGAGATGTATTATATAATAATGTGTTCCTGGAGGACAGGCTAATGCGGACTTTGTCCTCAAAAGGGGACAATCCCAGCACCCATTAGTCTATAATACATATATATTATATATATATCATACAGAAAACATTTATCTATTTATCGCCATGGTGTCCCCTTTTCTAGAGAGAAATCTATAAACCTTATTAAGACTTCTGGCTATTCACCGACCATGTTGGAATTGTGACGTTAGAGGCGAACAACGCATACGCTAAAATTCTCAAGTCATTTTGAAATAAAGACATTTTAATAAAACAGCACTTTGCATGGCTTTTGCGCACTCTCAAATACTTTGAAAACTATCCTTTTCCCTTTATAATTAATCAAAAACGTAAAATGACTAATATGAGGCCCAGTCCGTCGTCTGATCTTTACACATGCACAGTCATTCCACATGACAAAGTTTAATATCACAATTATTTTACGATTGTTGATTGACTGTCAAGAAAAAGAATAGTTTCGAGGTATTTTAAAAATGTGTGCTAAAACCATCCGAAGTAGTGTTTTTTTGAAGTATCTTTTCATTTTAAAAATGGCATCTAAATAAAACTTTCAGTGTGTTTTCTCGTCTCTGTCATAAATCTAACATATGGCTGTAACGAGGATCCAGGATCTTCAAAGATATATAGCGATACTATATTTTTTATATATTAAGAAAAAAATGTTTTTTTAAAAAGATAAAGATATATATATATTTATATATGTATTAGATGTTACTCATCAACGTTATGTTGTACATCATTTTCTTCATTGTCTTGTTCCTTAGTCTTGTCTTCTCTTTCTTCTTTGTTTCGCAAAACGTAGCCATTCTGCGACTATACCATCAAAATCGGATTCTGTTAGACTTGCGTGACGTAAAGTTAAATCTCCTTAAAAAAAGAGAATGCATTAAATTAAGGGTAACACCACTGTAACGGCCCAAAAAATTGCACTTCTTCGACATTTTTTTTTAATGAAAGGAAATGAAATAAAGTATTAATACTCCGTGAAGTTAATAAGCATATATTGAAGTACTAGTAAAAATTTTTCATAAAATAATATTACAAAAGGCGGAATGGCAGCCATATTCCCTGATGCTCCTTTAAAATAAAAGGGTCTGCGGCAAGCAGTGTAGCCGTTGGAAATTTGAACCAAGAACAAATAAAAAAATTCCTCATGATCTTCAATGGTATATCTAGTACAATACGTATGGGATTTTAGAAATATTGATTTTTGAGTGATTGGCGAGCATTTGAATAAAGTCGTTCATTTTTCGACAAAAAAAAAGTGACATTATTTGGCAATAAAAAATGTTTAGAGCAACGTATCAAAAATTCCATACGTATTGTACTTCGAAATGTTGTTTTGAATGTACAGTAAAAAATTCAAGTGAAAATATTAAAAATTTTAGAGTTATACTGCTTGCCGCGTTGAAAAAAACGTGTTTCGAGAAAAACGCGTTAAAGTTTGGAGTTGTATTATAACATGAAAAAATTTAAAATTCGACTCAAAAAAAATTTTTACTATTAGTCTGCAATCCAGCACAGTCGTAAAGCTGCCCTTCTAATTGGAATATTCGTCCTCCATTTCTTTCCTCGCAGATGTTATGCCAGAGCGCGCTTTTTTTGCTGCATCTGATAATTGTGCCTCTGCGTGCTTGATTCGTTTTGCATCGGATTCGATGCAAAAATTATATGCTTCGACGCCAATTTCCATTTCCAGATATATTTCGTATATCTAGATATATTTAGAATATATTAGATATATTTAGATATATTTAGATATATTTTAGATATATTTTAGATATATCTAGATATATTTCATATATCTAGATATATTTCATCTAGTAGTGTCTCACATAACTTAGAAATCAATAAGCAAGGTATTATGCACTACTCTCTCGACAGGTTTCCACCCGGAGCAGGTAGCCGTTTCGGAGTCGCCCGACTCGTTCAGTACATAGCTAGGAATTTCGATGAAATAAATTAGTTTCACGTATAAAAGTTTTTTCCTCGTATTCTACAGGGTTCAAAGGATTTTTTAAGCCCAAAAAAAAATCGATTTTTGAAAATTTTACAGTGGTGTTACCCCTTAATAAAACTATCAATAAATTTTAAGTTTAGCACAGCTTATATATATTATATACATCACATACTTCTAACAATTTTTATTATATTTAAGTCACCAACTCGGAAATTGTTTCGAATTCCTTTCATGGAACAATTCATAGCACACTCATTCGTGAAAATTTTTTTCAAAATTTGTTGTATATTATCTTTAGGGTTGTTTCCTCCTATTTTCAACAAATACTCTCTCTGTAAAAATAACGTACATTTTGTACACATAAATTTGCTTTTAAATAAAATGCGATTGCTATAAAATAAGTATATATACAAAGAATTCTTACAAATTGAGTAACTGCCTCTTCTGTAGTTTTCAATAATGATTCAAATTGCTTTATACGTTCTACTGTGCTACAAGGTAAAAATTTCGTGATAATATTATCATTTACATCAAAATTTGATACACATTTTGTAAGAATAGCTTTTTCTATTCTTTTTAAACGTTGGTTTATATCTTGTAACGTGATGTTTACTGTTGCTTGCATGTGTACCATTTGTTGTAAATTCTCTGCAATAAGACACATATGCATGTATATAAAAGTGAATGAAATATCTAACCAGAGATTAAGCAATCCGAAAATTCAGAATTTATTCTGAATTGTGTATAAATAGAGTAGTTCATCTGTAACACAAAACTACAATATTTTTTATTTGTCCGGATTTGAGGGAGTGAAATCACTCTTTGAAGAAAATTTTTACAAAAGTTGCATCTCTTTAATTTTTACAAAATTATGTATAAATAAGTATTGAAAAATTTAATAAATTTAATAAATTTTGAGGGTTTCTGAATTTTCGTCCCTTGTAAGTGAGTAAAATACTCTGTAAATGAAAAAGAAATAAAAAATTACTTACGTTTTATATTCACATTCTCTTTTATATCCTCTATACACGGTACATATCCTAAAATATTGCAAATAATGTATTTTATTAATATCTCATATACATATATAACATATGTGCACACCACACACACACCACACACACACACACACACGTACCATCAAATATTATGGGTATGTTTTCCACTTCTTCGGCTTCCTTTTCTTTTTGTTTAGACAATGAAACACTTTCCATTCCTAAATATTTGTTACAATAATTATTATAACAACTATTATATTTAGATAATAAAAAATAATATGCGAGTTACCTTTCTTTGACAAAGTCTCATTAAAACGGCTTCCACAACTTTTTTGTGAGACATTATGTGTATTAAATGTAGAGAGTACATTATTATTTAAACCAAAGTTGTCAGGACACGATGGTAGAGTAGATGCAATAGCACTCGAACAGTTTTTTTCTGTAAGTCTTTTTCCTAAAAATATATATTAAAAGTCACTATTAATACTATTAATACTTAATAAAATGAGTACCATAAAAAAATAGTAATAATACAATTTAAAGATCTTTCTTTTTATATGCGATTACATATGAAACAATCTCTAAAAGTATGTGGCAATAAGTTTTACATACTTTGACAAGATGTACCTTTAATGTTTAATTCTCGAGATTGTGTTTCTTCGTATTCTTCTTCGTCACTATTATTGCTACGATTGCATGAATAACGTTGTTTTTATTAAATTTTCGAGATTGTGTTTCTTCGTGTTCTTCATCACTACTGTCGTATCGATTATATGGGCGCAATTGTCTTTTTTCCTCGTCCTAATCGTTCGTCATCAGTTGTGTGATAATATGCATCTGATGCACTTTTTCGAGCTGATTCTAATGACGCTGTAAAAAAGAAAGGAAAAATAATGTCAATTTTTCGTATAAGTCGCATCGTGATTGAAAAAAATTTTTTATTCTCAAATTTAATATTAGAATTAAATGTATTTCTTAAATTTCAATTTAGAATTAAATGTTTTAAATGTTAAAAATATTATATATTAACTTCAAAATTTAATTTCATTACATAAACAAAGCTGTAAATAATAAAATATATTTTTTAGCTATTAATCTTTTATTTGAATAAATTTACAAATAAATTATAGAAACATTTTTCTGCGCTGATACGCGCATTTATTTTGACAATTATTGTAAAATATACGATTATATTAAGTTTTATTTATTGTTTTATTATATAAATAATTTTAAATTTAAGAAAAAATATTTATATGGTTCAAAATAGAGACTATATAGAGAATGTATAAGTACTTACAACAATATTTTATTATTTCTATCTCATGTCTGCTCCATATGTCGGTATTTGGACTTGCACAATTTGTAATTAAAATTGTGCTATTTGCTGTTCGTGGCGGCCACCAACATTGATCTGTCTCACCTTCTTTACAAAGCCAGGCAGTAGGAATTTCAGAAATGTGCCATCCGACAGAAATTTAACTACTGCATAATGTTTTTTATCTTGTTTGGTATAAGCATCCATTATCTGTTGGTAAATACATATGTATATATATAAACAGTTAATGTTGATCAACATTTCATACAAAGATATATCATATCTGTGATATTATAGATATATTATAATATATTCATGCGAAAATATTAATTGCCTAAATTTTAAAAAATTGTACTTACACATTAATGATATCCATAAATGAAAATTCCACAAAAATTACAACGCATATACAAATTATCTTAAAGACGAAAGATAAAGTAAATATTTATATTAAAATATTCATAACGTATTAGTTAAAATTAATTTATAAAGTTATGCAAAAGTAAAGAATGTAGAATATATCAAATCTACTCAAAATGCATTTTAATTATTACTATGTAAAAGTGATATTGTAACAAACGAATTACTTTATAAAAAAATTTCAATTTTACGCACTTTCTTTGTATTTGTGTCGCTGGAATTTTAATAATATTAAAACAAGTAATATTTGGTATCACGAATATACCAAGTTTTTCCGAAGGACATGGTTTAGTAAATAGAGATTTAAGATTCAAAAATTGTTGCGCACGAATAAATACAATCCCACAGTCTTCAAAAATTTCCAAAACAAAAATCACAGACATATCATGCAGTAAAGCACAATTATCAGTTTTGTTAATAGCAATTTAAAAGTTTTGAATTGTAGATGAAAAATATGTTTTTTGGTGTGTAAATAACAATAGGATATTTTTTTTTGTGACACGGTTGAATTGGAAGCTGTAATTCTTCAGATGTACGATTTATTAATTCCTCTAAAGGTTTTCCTGATCGCAATTTTTTCTTAATTTTTTGCATATTATTCTCATATTTGAAACAACTAAAGTTGTCTAAAGAACCAAACATGTTTACATCATTGGCTAGATGAATAAGATTATGCACATTATATGAGAGATATTGGTCACCATAAATATTCCCGTAATTCGATACAAAGTGCAATAATAATGAATTTGCATAGTCATTAAATGTCACGCACAATTGTGGATCAATCAATATTCTAATTGCAACACTAAGACATAAAAAGTGATTATAATAAATTGAAGATATCGTGGACTTCATGACTACAATTCCAGTGTACAATAAAAACTGACGTAATTCAGTGGCTTTCCATCTATCAATGTCTCGTAAATCTCTAGGTTTTCTCGCAAATTCCACTGGAATATATGGCTGAATCACCATTAAATGCTGTGAAATTAAATTTACACACTCTTTCGATAATCTGAAATGTTTATTTCCTCTTTGCCAAATTTGTAACAATCGTTTTGTAACACCTAAACAAACAAGATGCATATAATCCAGTGGAATTTGCGATATCATTCCAATATGAAGTTTTTCTAATATGGAATCACCTGTATGATGTTCAGGTTGGGCACGATTTTTAAATGCATCATCAGTACGCAACGTATTATGAGTTTGTGGAAAGACCACTCTATTATGAACAAAATCACCTTCTTGTATACATTTAGGACAAGAGAAATATCCTGTATGGCCTTTGGTGCGTGTAATAAATGCTCTAGCTGGGGCATCGCATAGTATTGCACCAATAGCAACAGTATATTTATTGTTCAAAACAGTTATTCCATTTGTGAGAGAGAAATAAAGTCATTGATAAAATCGGTTAAAAATTCGTTTGCATCATTGGGCTTGCACATGCCATGGTACACACCGATTATGAATGGTGATGTGTAAATATCTATTCCTTCTATTGATCCCATAATAGGCCAAAATTGGCTTCCAGAACTTTTACAAAGTGGTAAACCATCTGTATTTATATTTAATGTAATTTCATTTGTTTTTATAAATGTAGAATACATCTGTATTGATCGCTCAAGAGAAGACAAAATACCAAAATGAAAGTAACGACCGTTGCCCATAGATTTAATATGCATAAATGTATTTCGTGGCGTTCTAAGTAGACATCTGACATCATAAGGTAATTCCACATGACCATGTGTTATAAGAATACGAAGTAATTCGTTTGCACAGCTATGTGGAATATTACAATTAATAATTAACATTTGTAAATCCTTCCATAAATTATTCTCATTATTACAATAGGAGATATTTGTTGTAGGTGTATTATCCTTTAATTCAATGTTACATTCTTTTTTGTTATTCGTATCATGTTCTATCTCAAATTCATGAAATTCATTAGAATCGTTAGATAATATATTATCTCTACAAGATATATTATTGTTACATTCTTCACGAGTTAATGTTGCTTCTTTAATATTATTACATGCTTTGTTTGATTCGACTAATTGTAATAAATTTAAATTTTTATGTAAATTATATTGACAATTGATTAATTGATTCTTTCGTCTTTTAGATAAAAATCTTATGTCCTTCGGCATGTTGAATTAATAATATTTCGTATTAATATAAGTACTAAATATGCGTGTCGATGTGTTTAAAATAGCGAGCTTTATTTGTTGTCGTACAAATTAAAAGAGACCTTTCTGAAAATGTTATTCATTCATTCATTTATTAGCATTAATTAAAAAATGACAATATAATATATATTAACATGAAAATTTAATGACTTTAATTCATTCTTTTTGAGAAATATATCAAGCTGTCTAGTTAAATGTTAATTAATAAATATCTTCTAACAATTCCTCGCCCAGCAAACACGGTATATATATAAAATGTTATGTATATATGTAAGTATGAAGCATATGTTACATGTAACGTATATGTTAGTTGTAATTTCCCACTCATAAATGTAACATTTTTAATATAACATATATTATACATTGTAGGTATATTGTCATTATATCCCAGATAGCACTGACTTATCGATACATGAATGTGCTATTTGGTATATAATTACAATATAACTACAATGTAATATATATGTATATTAAAAATGTTACATTTATGAATGGGAAATTACAACTATAACATATACGTTACATGTAACATGCTTGATTACTTACATATTTGCTGGGTCCATATATAAAAAATAAAATAATATAATACATTTTCACAGAAAAGGATAACAAATAGATAAATATTGATGTAAATATTACCTGCTTAAATTACTATCAAAGTATATATATATATATATATATATATATACCCTTCATTGACGACTTAATAATTTTTCCACTGTTCCATATATATATATATACTGCAAAGCACGTATACGCATACGTACGACAAATATTTGTTTGGCTGGCGGAAAGGCGAGACAATTTTTGGATCCAATATGTATTTCGTGTACAACCTGTGACGGATTAAAAAATATGTAAATTAAAGTTATGATAATATTTTTATAATATAGCATATATATATGTATATATATATATATATATATATATGTGTGTATGTTGTACAATTTGTTAATATATATAAGTATCTTTTGATGATTATAATTAATTATTATACAATTGATATATATACCTAATAATTTGCGAGGTTATCATCTTTATCGTTATGAAAATATATATATATAGCGAGCGAATATTAAAGGAATGCCAAAAGATTTAAAACTCAAATACTTTTATATGCATATTTTCACAATCAACAATAACCTCGAATTTGTAGGCAGAATAGCTTTATGATAATAAATTATGAAAAATGTTAACTTAATATTGTATATATATTTAGATGAAATTTTTTTCTGATTTAATGCAATGTTTAACACATATATATTTAATTAGAAAAAAAGGATTACCTCGGATAAGAAAAATCACTTCATGTCGCCATATCACTCAGATTACCCATGTCGCACAGATCGGAAACGGAATTATATGTATGTATATAGCAATAATGGCGTTGCTATACTGTTAAAATAAATCCCGCGTAATTCAAAATACGTAATGTCAATATAATAGTTATGTAGACGTTATATTACATATTTTATAATATCTATGTAAATGTCATATAACATATTATATAACATCTATATAACTTCGATATAACATCTGTTATAAATGTATTATATTTATGTTATGTTGCTGTTACTTTATTGTAACGAGTAAATAACAAAAAATGTTACAATTATATTACATAGTTATATTGTAGATATATAATGAGATACATAGCCTCAATGTAACTAAGATATAACATCTGTTATATCACAGGTTACTTTTCTGTTATATTGCAGTTATATTTTGTGTTTGCTGGGTTAAAATCGATTGATAATACTTCTATAAGAATATATGTGTTCCTA